TGAGTGGTAAAACAGTCCTCAAACGTGTCACTGGAGCAGTTGCCATGCAGTAGGAAGTCTCAATTACCCGTCCTTCCTAAGTCAAGTGGGAAGGATGGTAGAATTTTTGGTAAAAAATGTGGAGTGTGGCAATGAGTGCTACGGCTCCCCAACCCATCTTTTTCGTGTGATTTGCCTTCTCGCCCAAAAAGTGGGAAATTCAGGAATACTTTACCGAGCTATTCTCAACCCTGCTTATCCGCAATTGATAATTTAACACCGCTATTTCATATTTGTAAAGCATACCTTGCTTATTTGCAAAGAAAAATTATGATACCCTACAGAATGTACATTCCCTTTATGCGTTTGCCCTTAGGACAATTATTTCTTTTACCTGTATTGCATGTGTGTGTGTGTGTGTGTCTACACACACACACACACACACATACATACAATATACATAAAAGAAATTACTGTTTCTAGAATGAATGGCTCACTGTCCCAGCTGTGAAAATGCCAGCAACTTTAAAACTACCCTTAGACATTCTTGGTTACATCTAGGATGTCATCCGCAAATAATGGCGGTTCTGCGAATTAAAAATCCGCGAATTGCCAGAGCATGCTGTATAATTATTATTTATTCCTCAAATTTACAGATACAGTACTCCAGTATACATGCGACCCTGGTCCCTAATAGCCTTGGACAATGAGGAGTGTACTGTATATTGAAAATTATGTGGTGAAAGTTGTCAGCTGGGAATATATCCCCTTCTGTTTACATTAATTCTTAAGGGGAAAATTGCCCCGGTATTTGCAATGACTTTGGAAAAAAGCATCCTTTGCGTTAACTAGGGTATTCCAGTATGGTAATTTTTAAATTATTGATAAAAATGATAGTTGTTATTGTGCAAAGGGGTCCAAGTAATATTTGAGAGTGAATAAAAATGGCAAACTTAGAGTGAAACGTGCAAAAAAGTGCAATAGCTCTCTATTTTGATTTACCTTTGAAATTTAAAGCACGACTATTTCGTGATTCTCATGAACAGTATTATGAAAGATACCACAACTATATTCCCACCACCCGTAGCAGATATGTGACAGTAATGACACACTCAGTCTTGCTGTCATTGTGGCATCCGCTTTCGAGGGTTTTTATTTTCTTATTTACGATGAACAACGAAATCAGGTGAAATGAGGCAAGGTAGAAAACCCCATATTTTTTAAGCGTATTTGCCACTCACTCAATACAATTACTGATACTTGTGCAGCTTTCACTAAATATTCAATGTAACTGGCAATTTCAAAGCTCATTACTTTCCAAAGGTCAGGGAAAGTGGTTGGTGGGATGAAAGAAAAGGTGTGTTAACTCCCCCTTCCTGCATCCTGGAAACACACAGTTATGTGGCAAAAATTCGTCCAAAAAGAAAAAAGTGCATGCAAGTGATTATCACAAAATACAGCACTTTCTTGATTTAACAAACTAATTCCAGCCACCCCTTTCCATTAAATCAAAATTTCCTCTAAATCGAATTTCCGTTATTTTCGTTTGATATAGCGAACCAGTTCACTAAATCGAGCACGATTCCATTAAATTATGCCGCTTGGCATGTGGGGTTTGTTTACATCCGCTCAGTCTATGTCCTGCCGCAACCACGTGTGTTGTTCACTGCCACCTCTCGGTCTACCCCTTGGCCAACTAACTAAAGTGCTCAGACATCATACAGAAAATCTCTCAGAAGTGTCAGAAAGGAAGGTGTGTGTGTGTGTGTGTGCTGAAGTCAAAAGAGTGCAGCTATCAATTAGAAAAAAGTTTGGAAATCGAAAAATTTGAAAAAACTCACCGAACCCCGAGTTTAAAGTAAGCCATGAATAATGTTTCTATGTACTCGTACATATCATGTGTCAGAGGTGTGAGCGTATTAACGGAATTAGTCTCGATTTAGTGAACTAGTTCAGTAAATTGAGTGAAAACTAACGGAAAAAATTCCTTCCGCTAAATTGAAAGTACTGTATACTAATATGAATTAATTTGTCAGAAAATTTAGCAGTTTTAAATAAATACCCAATACAGTATTTATAATAAACAATAATTATGATATTAAATTAATGTAAATATAAATTTAATATCATATCAAGCTTAATAATTTATGCATGAAAATCCACATGCGTGAGGATGTTAAAAGTTTAACATCTGCATCCATGGATGTCTGAAATCTGACACAACAATTTTGCTAATCCCCAACAACAACTGGTGGCAGACATACAATACAGTATCTAGGAAGACTGATAAAGATAACCCAAAATAGTATGAGGTGAAGAACCAGACACCAACCCTCGGACAGATAAGAGGCACCTTGACTGACTGATCAGTAAGAACTATCGTACTTACTTTCATCATAAGAAGGCCAAGCTCCTGCACCCCAAGCGTGGCATCCATATTAAATAATTCATAAAACTTGCCCATCTTGAAAAACAGAATTGTATCTTTGTGCTGTGACTTAATCTCCCACCATTGTCTCAGAGCCTGTTGAGAGAATTTTTTATTAAAAACAGTCCAAAAATATCTGACCCACTTTAGTTCCTGTCCATTCATGAAATAAAACAAACTTAATCTAGTTCTTGGTAGGTTTTGAATTTCAGCTAATAAGGAGTCAGATTGCCATTTCAGTAAATGTGAACCAATCTCATTGAATATTTAGTACTGTACTGCACATAAGTTGTTCAAAATCTCAAGCAGTGTACATAATAAGTTACATGATAATCCACCACTTGACCCATTCATTACAGGAAACCCACTTTTATTACTTTATTTGGCTAATGGCAGATAATTTTATCCAGATCAGAAGGAATCCCATACACAAGGGGTTAATAAGGCTCCCAGTGGCATAATATTTTAACCACTCAAACAAAAATCTTACATATTGTATGATATGCTGCTGAAGACAGCCAAGGCAGCGTATAGGAGCATCCGTGCACAAAAAGACTATAGGTTTTGCCAGTTCTTGACTAACTGAGCTCAAAATGGCAATCTTTCTGTGGGATATCTAGATGTTTAGTGTGAGCAAGACCACTTAAATGCTGTTATAGACCTATGACCAAGCTACAGTACAGAACCATGAATGTTATTTCCTTGGTGGTGTATCAAAAGGTAACTCCTCTCAGAATCTCCTCAGTATAAAACCTCTTTAATATAAGCAAATCTCAAAATATTACAAAAATCTTGAAACTTCTTACTGGAGTCTGCTGATTGAGGAAGCTTTCAGGAACATAGAGAGTTCTTGGGTTGTACTTTGGGTGGTCTGGGGCGCGTTTGTCACGGTCACGTATATTGTCAGGCTGCAGCCAAGGGTACTTCAAGAAGGGCCAGTCCTCAGTGCGGTCCTGGACTGGTGGAGGTGTCTAAGGGAAGAGAACTTATATCATATACAAAATATTGAATGAGGAATGTCAGCTACTCGAAAATTTGGATGGATTATATAAATGAACAGCTATCTGACAGCATCATGTGTGGAAAAGAAATGCATCGAGTGTCGAAAGTGCTGCACTGATGGTTTGCTTGAAACTTAAATCGGCTGCACTGATTGGATTAACGAGTCACATCTGTCAAATTAGAAGCTGGTTGTACCAATTTAATCTATCACAAATACTGTATATGTTTGATAACTGTTAAATTACATTTTTTATTTTTACTCTCAAATTCTATCACAACATTTAATTTTTTGCTAATTTAACTGAAATTTGGATTTGTGGTCAGGTTTGTGTATCTACTGTGGATCACCTGGCCTTAGTCCTTTTGGTATTCTAATTACACAGATTTCACCGTAGTACAGTACTTACAGCACAGTATACAATGGTCCCTCGGTTAACGAATTACCTTCCATAAGAATCTTCATTTTGGTTAACGAAAAAAATTCGGTTAACGAAATTCTTACGAAAATGTTTCGACATGCTTTGGCTTGCTCACCAGCTGGAAGATTAGTCCACCAATACAGAAATCGGTTCTAGGGCTTACATTCATTAAAATTGGAGTAAATATCAAGAAGGTTGTACTATTCAATAATTTTCCAAGTTTTATACAGGTAGTTCTGCTATAACGCGATAATTGTGTTCTTGTAAAATATCGTGTTATAGAAAATCGCGTAATAGAAATAACAGGGCTTATGGAGAAAATAGGGTTAGGTGCAGATTACTCGAAATCGAAAAAATTTAGTAGTTAGCCTAACACAAAGGATAGCACAGTCTAAATAAATGTTACATTCATATCTAATTATATAATCATACAGTAAATGTAACACTTTAGTTGATGGGGGAGAAGGGTGATTTTGAGGTTGATAAAATCGAGCTTCTCTTCAAGTGTTATATCCTTTCTTTTACGATCATCACCGGGAATTCTATCACCAGAACGCTTCTTGCTGATATTCTTCTTTACTATATTCACATTATTTAATTTTTTTTTTTCTAATTTATTGTTTTTTTATTACAAATATTAATGATATTCTTTATTTCAGGGGTTTAGATGCATATTTATGCACTTTTTTACAATTTTTACAATTTTATATTATATTTTTCAGTGTTAAGTGGTTGTATTTGGGGGCCTGGAATGGATTAATCCTATAACGAACGAATGCTATAACAAACAAGGTTCTAGAACCAATTAGATTCGTTATAGCATACCCCACTGTACCACAAAATTGGAGAAATAGTAAGCAAAAATCGCGTTATAGCAAACAAGCGTTCGCGTTATACAAATATCGTTCCTAATTCATAAATCGCGTTAGAGCAAATTCGCGTTATCAAAACACGCGTTATAGCAGAACTCACTGATATTAAGTTTTGTTTTAATTTTAACACTTATTTAATATAACTGCAGTACAGGGAACTAATTTTTGGTGCACCCATCAGCCACTTGACTCACCCACCAAGGCCCCAGTTTGTATCTCTGTTCAGTTGAGGAAACATCTTGCTTGTGGGTCTCTTGAACACATTGTATTTTTATGTTTTTACAGTACAATTATTGGTCATTCTGAAATTTATTTAACATATTGACAATATATAGTGCAGTGCAGTGTTGATTTAAAGAAAATAATCTTGAATTACACCTAGTTAACTTAAAATTTTATGGGTGAAATGACAGCCCTCAAGCATGGGGTGATTTCTCTTCCACCCCCACTTCCTTCTCTTCTCCCTTCTTCTCCACCCCCACTTCTAATTCCCATCATCATCAACCAGGAGCCTTCTACATACACACCTCAAAGTAAGTGTACTTTACTGCATTTTTTTTTTTACTTTGTATGTAATTTTCGGTGAGCTGGAACCAATTACCCAAAATCCCATCGAAACAATGGTTTCGGTTAACGAACGACCTTCTGGAATGAATTGTGTTAGTTAACCAATTCGACCACTGCAAATACATACATACCATCAATAATGAATGACAGACTTACCGTATATCTCGGCTTATAAGACGAAATTTGAACATTAAAAAAATCTGCCCAAAGTTAGGGGGTCGTCTTAAGCAACAAATATAAAATTCTTACATCTTAAATATTGTGTCAAGAGTGGTGATGGAAACATCGTAAGCCACTCACAAAGTCCTACCAGTAATTATTTTATACTGAAACTTACGTTTGGCAAGCTGGATTCAAATTAAGATTACCGGTATATTAAAATAATAAAAATGTATTATAAACCTGTCTAACATACCCTGTAATAAACACAGCTATCATCACACACCCCTCCCCACGCCCCCCCCATTTGCCAGTGAGGAGACAAGAAAGGAAAGTGACCGCGAGATTGGGCTATTTTTAGCCGTGGAGGTGGTCAGTAATGCATACCGGTATCGGTATATTTACTCATAATAATATTTATCTCCTATAAATAATTGATTTAAATTTTATTTTTTTACAAAGAATATTCAGTAAATGAGTGCATTAATTCTTGAAACTATCGACGGTTAATTACAGACGCTCAAGTGACGTCACTAGTGTTTACACTACACCAGCTGGTAATATTTGATGCCATTACTTGAAGTGAATTGGCCTTATTTTAAGTAACTAACTATAAATAAATACAAAAATTAAAAAAAAAGATCAAAACTGAGAAATAATATACTGTATGTATGTATGTATGTATGTATGTATGTATGTATATATATATATATATATATATATATATATATATATATATATATATATATATATATATATATATATATATATATATATATATATATATATATATATATATATATATATATATATATATATATATATACATATACAGTAGAGTGTCCGGCTCGAGAGCTATTTTAGATTCGCACCACCCCCCACCCGCCACCCTGCCTGACTGCCTGTTTTAGCTCATAAAATTCATACAAATTACCCAGCCAGAATATAATTTACATTGCTGGAATTCTTATAATTTGGTGATCATTTTGAATATAAACAACATATATTTTGCATTAAACATACAATTTTTAGATAAAAATTTTCTCTAGGTAATTATGTTATCTTTTGTCCAAAATATATGACATTTATATTCAAAATATTCCTGGTCTTACAAGGAATCCAGCAATGTCAATTATATTATCCTAACTTTAGTTTGAGGTATTATTTATTAAAATTTAGTGGTTATCCCACACATCTCCTTGGGACGGTTGGTGGGGGGTGGGGGGGAGGGAGGGACCGACCGACCGACCATCTGTTACCCCGTGAAGAATTATTATTTTTTTTATTAACTGAAGATATTTGTTTTAGCTCATAAAATTCATACAAATTACCCGGTCAGAATATAATTTACATTGCTGGAATTCTTATAATTTGGTGATCATTTTGAATATAAACAACATATATTTTGCATTAAACATACAATTTTTAGATAAAAATTGTTCTCTAGGTAATTATGTTATCTTTTGTCCAAAATATATGACATTTATATTCAAAATATTCCTGGTCTTACAAGGAATCCAGCAATGTCAATTATATTATCCTAACTTTAATCTGAGGTATTATTTAATACTAAATGTTAAAAACTCTTGAATGGAGGATTGGTGGGGGGTGGGGGGAGGGTTGGGACTGACCACGCGGTTGGAAGAGGGGGGGAAGGCAAGGTGGGGTACTTTGATTGACAGATAGTGTCGAAGAATATTTTTTTTTTTTATTAACTGAAGATATTTGTTTTAGCTCATAAAATTCATACAAATTATCCGGCCAGAATATAATTTACATTGCTGGAATTCTTACAATTTGCTGATCATTTTGAATATAAACATCATAGATTTTGCATTAGACATACAAATTTTAGATGTAAAGTTTATTCTGAGTAAATATGTTATCTTTTGTGAAAAATATATGACATTTATATTCAAAATATTCCTGGTCTTACAAGGAATCCAGCAATGTCAATTATATTATCCTAACTTTAGTTTGAGGAATTATTTATTACTATACCTGGTTTTCCCCCCAAAATTTCTCAGAGGGAAGAGCCAGTGAGTGTAGTGTGAGAAGAGGGGGAGGGAGTTGAGTCCATTATTTGAATGGACATTAACTTGGCGACTGTATTTCTCTATTTCTCTTAAGTATTAATTGTGTGCATGTACCATCATAAAATTAAGATGTTATTTTTACTACAACATAGTTATTTGTCGTCAAAAAGTGGAGTTTGGGGGTCGGGCTGGGTTCTATTGGAATTAATCCCATATGTTCTGTTATTCACTTAACGCGGTTTTCACTTAACGCAGGACCCTCTGGGTTCAATTGACCGCGTTAAGTGGGGTACAACTGTGTATATATATATATATATATATATATATATATATATATATATATATATATATATATATATATATATATATATATATATATATATATATATATATATATATTTATTTATTTATATATATATATATGTTTGTGTAATAAATGTATGTAGTAAGTACGTAATATTTTTTCACTCAAATCCTAATGAAACACTACTGGAGAACATTCCTTTGTCGCAAAACAGTTTATAAATTTAAGAAAATAATTACAGTGTGTTTAATATATTACAGTATATTATAAATAAATAAATAAACAAATAATTCGGTAAATCTATTGCAAGTAAATGGAAAATAAGCAAACAAATGTTATTTACCAAGACGCTTCTGTCTGGCTCAGGGTGAGATGGAGGGGAGATAACAAGGCTATTTATAGCCCGTCTGAAGTGGCCAGTACCCTAATGCACCATAAATAATTCATTGAACATTCATTTGTTGTACATAGTATATTCAGTATATATATATATATATATATATATATATATATATATATATATATATATATATATATATATATATATATATATATATATATATATATATATATATATATATATATATATATATATATATATATATATACAGTTAACCCTCACTTTACGCGGTTAATGTAACCCGGAGGGTACCTCGGAAAGCGAGAAACGCGTAAAGTGAATAACATAACATATGGGATTAATTGAAATGGAGTCCAGGCCGATCCCCAAACTCCACTTTTGACGACACATAACTATGTTGTAGTAAAAATAACATCTTAATTTTATGATGGTACATGCACACAATTAATACTTAAGAGAAATAGAGAAATACAGTAATACTTAAGAGAAATAGAGAAATACAGTCGCCAAGTTAATGTCCATTCAAATAATGGACACGACTCCCTCCCCCTCTCACACTACACTGCCGGCTCTTCCCTCTCTGAGAAATTTTGGGGGGAAAACCAGGTATAGTAATAAATAATACCTCAAACTAAAGTTAGGATAATATATTTGACATTGCTGGATTCCTTGTAAGACCAGGAATATTTTGAATATAAATGTCATATATTTTTCACAAAAGATAACATACTTACTCAGATTAAACATTTTATCTAAAAATTTTATGTCTAATGCAAAATATATGATGTTTATATTCAAAATGATCACCAAATTGTAAGAATTCCAGCAATGTAAATTATATTCTGGCCGGGTAATTTGTATGAATTTTATGAGCTAAAACAAATATCTTCAGTTAATAAAAAAAAAAATATTCTTCACGACACTATCTGTCAATCAAAGTACCCCACCTTGCCTCCTCCCCCTCTTCCAACCGCGCGGTCAGTCCCAACCCTCCCCCCCACCCCCCACCAATCCTCCCTTCAAGAGATGTTGGGTGAAAAATTTAGATTTTAACATTTTGTATTAAATAATACTAGATTGTTATAAATGTCATATTTGCAATAAAAAGATAACATACTTACTCAGATTAAACATTTTATCTAAAAATTTTATGTCTAATGCAAAATATATGTTGTTTATATTCAAAATGATCACCAAATTGTAAGAATTCCAGCAATGTAAATTATATTCTGGCCGGGTAATTTGTATGAATTTTATGAGCTAAAATAAAAATCTTCAGTTAATAAAAAAAAAAATATTCATCACAAGGTAACAGATGTCGGTCGCCGGTCCCTCCCTCCCTCCCCCCACCAACGTCCCTACTAGATAAATGTGTGGGAATACCAGACTGTTTACCTTTTTAGTAATAAATAATAAATCAGACTAAAGTTAGGATAATATAATTGACATTGCTGGATTCCTTGTAAGACCAGGAATATTTTGAATATAAATATCATATATTTTGCACAAAAGATAACATATTTACTCAAGAGTAAACATTATATCTAAAATTTGTATGTCTAATGCAAAATCTATGATGTTTATATTCAAAATGATCATCAAATTGTAAGAATTCCAGCAATGTAAATTATATTCTGGCCGGATAATTTGTATGAATTTTATGAGCTAAATTAAAAAAAATTATACTTCACCGTGTAAAGGGGTACACCCACCGCGGAATGTGAGCATCCTGGGTTCTGGCAGGGCACCGCATAAACGTGGAAACGCGGAATGTGGGACCGCTTTAAGTGAGGGTTGACTGTATATATAAATATGTTTGTGTAATAAATGTATGGAGTAAGAACATACCGGTAACCTTTTTCACTCAAATCCTAATGAAACACCACAATTAGAATACGGTGGTTGCTGTTGAACCACCTGTTGTATAAACAGTGGGAACACAGTCACACCACGGAGACGAGGGAACACTCCCACCACCGATAGTCTCTTGCGAAGCAAGCGTATAAATGAAAGAAAGTACTTGCAGTGTGTTTAATATGTTACAGTATATTATAAATAAATAAATAAACAAATAAATCGGTAAATCCATTTCAAGTAAATGGAAAAATTTTACTCGACACCGACATTAGTTCCAGTTACCGGTAAATAGCAGACGCTTCAGTGACGTCACTAGTGTTTACACTACACTAGCGGGTAACATTTGATGACATTACTTGAAGTGAATTGGCCTTATTTTAAAAAACCAAGGATGGTTGGTAAAGGACTACTGAGTCAGAGGGTAAGTGTCACATTTGGGGTACTGGTCATATACAGCAAATAGAGCTCAAAAGCTACTTTTTAAATGGAAATTTGGGGGGGCCGTCTTATGCACCCCGACGCCTTATAGGCCGCGATATACGGTACCTCTTTTACAGCAAATAAGGACAACTTGGATTTGGTGCCTTCAGAGACCTTAGGAGTGGGTGGGGCACATGTAGGGGTCTTAGAAGTAGACGGAGATGACGAAAAGGACGAGTTTAAATTACGTCCACGTGCTGGTGTCGGCTTTTTACGCTTATTTGCAGGTGCCTAAGAGAGACAAAAAATTTATTATATATTTGTCAGGTGATATTTCAGTACAGTTTTACCCCGCCTAACGCGGTTTCACTTAACGCGTTTTCGCATATACGCGGTGCCTTGCCAAAGCTGAACTTTCACTTAACGCGGATTTTTTCCACATATACGCGGTGAGTGTCCGAGACGCTATTTTTAGATTTGCCCCACCCGCCACCCTGCCTGACTGCCTGTTTTAGCTCATAAAATTCATACAAATTACCAGGCCAGAATATAATTTACATTGCTGGAATTCTTATAATTTGGTGATCATTTTGAATATAAACATCATATATTTTGCTTTAAACTTACAATTTTTAGATAAAAATTTTTCTCTAGGTAACTATGGTATCTTTTGTGCAAAATATATGACATTTATATTCAAAATATTCCTGGTCTTACAAGGAATCCAGCAATGTCAATTATATTATCCTAACTTTAGTTTGAGGTATTATTTATTAAAATTTAGTGGTTATCCCACACATCTCCTTGGGACGGTTGGTGGGGGGTGGGGGGGAGGGAGGGACCGACCGACCATCTGTTACCCTGTGAAGAATTATTATTTTTTTTTATTAACTGAAGATATTTGTTTTAGCTCATAAAATTCATACAAATTACCCGGTCAGAATATAATTTACATTGCTGGAATTCTTATAATTTGGTGATCATTTTGAATATAAACATCATAGATTTTGCTTTAAACTTACAATTTTTAGATAAAAATTTTTCTCTAGGTAACTATGGTATCTTTTGTGCAAAATATATGACATTTATATTCAAAATATTCCTGGTCTTACAAGGAATCCAGCAATGTCAATTATATTATCCTAACTTTAATCTGAGGTATTATTTAATACTAAATGTTAAAAACTCTGGAAGGGAGGATTGGTGGGGGGTGGGGGGGAGGGTTGGGACTGACCGCGCGGTTGGAAGAGGGGGGGAGGCAAGGTGGGGTACTTTGATTGACAGATAGTGTCGTGAAGATTATTTTTTTTTTTATTAACTGAAGATATTTGTTTTAGCTCATAAAATTCATACAAATTACCCGGTCAGAATATAATTTACATTGCTGGAATTCTTATAATTTGGTGATCATTTTGAATATAAACATCATATATTTTGCTTTAAACTTACAATTTTTAGATAAAAATTTTTTCTCTAGGTAACTATGTTATCTTTTGTGCAAAATATATGACATTTATATTCAAAATATTCCTGGTCTTACAAGGAATCCAGCAATGTCAATTATATTTTCCTAACTTTAGTTTGAGGTTATCCCACACATCTCCTTGGGACGGTTGGTGGGGGGTGGGGGGGGAGGGAGGGACCGACCGACCATCTGTTAGCCGGCTGTGTAGTGTGAGAGGGGGAGGGAGTGAGTCCATTATTTGAATGGACATTAACTTGGCGACTGTATTTCTCTATTTCTCTTAAGTATTAATTGTGTGCATGTACCATCATAAAATTAAGATGTTATTTTTACTACAACATAGGTATGTGCCTTCAAAAAGTGGAGTTTGGGGGTCGGGCCGGTTTCTATTGGAATTAATCCCATATATTCTGTTGTTCACTTAACGCGGATTTCACTTAACGCGGGACCCTCTGGGTTCAATTGACCGCGTTAAGTGGGGTACAACTGTATAACATATCATGAAATACTACAGGGGCCCCCCTGTACCAGTGCTCAGTCATTCTGCCAAAAATGCCATGTCTCCTCTCTACAATGTATAACCCCTGGGCTTTGGCCTATGGTCGGTATACCCCTCCCCCCCCCTATGCGGGTATATTCGGGAACATTTAAAAAAAATAAAATAAAAAGCATTTGTAGTCTAACAAACTGGCCATGCATGATATAAACAGGAAATAAACACAGATCTTTTTCAAAGATTGGCAACACAGGGGGGGCTAGGAAGAGCTGAGAATTTTCATGAAGTGGCGTGTGTGTGCGCAACAATAGCACAGGGTAAACAACATAATTTGTAGGTAGTATGAGGTAAAGGACCCTTGATTTACTCATGTTATTACTATTTACACTTTAACAATCATATCACTGCTCCAGTAAATGATCACAATACTAGATTTGTGTATGCGGGGTTGAGGGGTAAAAACACATGGTGAAGTGAGTCAACTCCAAGGTACGAGATGCCTACAGACTTACCTCTTTTACAGCAAATAAGGACAACTTGGATTTGGTGCCTTCAGAGACCTTAGGAGTGGGTGGGGCACATGTAGGGGTCTTAGAAGTAGACGGAGATGACGAAAAGGACGAGTTTAAATTACGTCCACGTGCTGGTGTCGGCTTTTTACGCTTATTTGCAGGTGCCTAAGAGAGACAAAAAATTTATTATATATTTGTCAGGTGATATTTCAGTATAACATATCATGAAATACTACAGGGGCCCCCCTGTACCAGTGCTCAGTCATTCTGCCAAAAATGCCATGTCTCCTCTCTACAATGTATAACCCCTGGGCTTTGGCCTATGGTCGGTATACCCCTCCCCCCCCTATGCGGGTATATTCGGGAACATTTAAAAAAAATAAAATAAAAAGCATTTGTAGTCTAACAAACTGGCCATGCATGATATAAACAGGAAATAAACACAGATCTTTTTCAAAGATTGGCAACACAGGGGGGCTAGGAAGAGCTGAGAATTTTCATGAAGTGGCGTGTGTGCGCGCAACAATAGCACAGGGTAAACAACATAATTTGTAGGTAGTATGAGGTAAAGGACCCTTGATTTACTCATGTTATTACTATTTACACTTAAACAATCATATCACTGCTCCAGTAAATGATCACAATACTAGATTTGTGTATGGGGGGTTGAGGGGTAAAAACACATGGTGAAGTGAGTGTCATGGGTTGCGTTAGGCTTACCCACGCAACCAACTCCAAGGTTTGTTTTACCAGAGATAAGACGCCCGGCGAGGCATAACTGGGACATGTATTTTTCCATTAGTGTATGTTAGCCAGCCTTTAGGGGGATGGGCAGTGAAACAGTGTTGTACTGTTCATCGCTTCACACCCAAAAACCTCATTTTAACCAGTATCCCCTGAGCCATGGGTTAGTTAAGACGTCGCCTCCAGCCTCTCCCTCCTGAAGGGGGGGGGCGGGACACCACACCACACAGAGTCCTCCACCGCACTCCGTCCTGTGAACCGTCGTCGACACGAGACTAAGCGTGTTAACCTAGGTTTGTTATCCCCGTGGAAATATCACGTGTGGATGCCTGGTTGCGACAAGAGCAATCCAGGCTGGCCTATCAAACCTACAGTAAATGGTTAATTAATTCACGCTTACAGAGTTCTCCTGTACGACACCCGTCTACCGTGACCGTGATCGACACGAGACTAAGTGTGTTAACCTAGGTTTGTTATCCCCGTGGAAATATCACGTGTGGAAGCCTGGTTGCGACAAAAGCAATCCAGGCTGGCAGTAAATGTATCACTTGAAGAATTAAGGCTCTGTTAAGTCCCACCCATAGTAGAGTAACCACATGTGTCCCCAAGTTGAAAATTCCCTGTTTTAGAAGATTCATTTTATTACAGCGTGAACGTGAGTAAATCATATATCCACGCAAATTGTAAATCATTGTATGGAAGCTTGACAAATAAATGTAAGTGCAATTATCTGCCCGTATCTGTGATCCTATCTTATTATTACTAAAGGTAACGACTGATTGGTTATGACATAGTATAACCAATAACTTAGATGGATGTTGAAAATTAAATAAATTCATTAAATCATCATTTATCAAGTATAAATCATGGAATGTCGAGTGGTGGAGTGAACTTCTACGTAGATACGCCATAATCTCCTGTAAGTAATCAGTGTGAAGGTATCGGACTCTACGGTAAGAAATAAGAAATACGACATATTATTATCTTTATATAATATAATCCACTCCTACTACCACCGATTCATACCAAAACCATGACAGTGAGTCAACTCCAAGGTACGAGATGCCTACATCATAAAAGCTGAGAAGCTACTGAGAAGAGACTGGGAGGCTCTCATATGTGAGTGAAAGATAAACACCTACTTGGCACCATAATCTAGCTAGGCCCATCGTTTTTATTCAAATAGGCCCACGAAAGATCAAAACATAGGATATGACCCGAAGCTCTGCTGACGCACGTTATATGATGTGTCAACCTAGGGGCTAAGAACATCCTAACCTTCAGGATATATGTGTTACTTTACTGAAACAGTAGCTCCAAATATTCTTCCCATCTCCCATTTATTGTTTTGTTTCCTTCTGGTCCCTCTGCTGTTTTCTTTCATTACTCATTACTTGAAACGTCTCCTCACATACCCTTCCCTTCTTGCTTCACCACTACCACTCTCATCCCACCATTCCTAAACCCTGAAATAAATTAAATGTCTCCATCAGCTATCTTCTAACACCACACTATTAAATGCAAAAGAAATTTAATGCTCAAAATACAATACCTTAACTGGGGAATCAATCTCCGACTCTACTTCTGGCTCCGATACTTCGTCCTCATTCACGGCAGAACTCACTGACCCGTCGTCACTATCACTGGCGATTTTCTCTGTGGAGGGAGAGTCTTGTTTTGATCCATTTTCAGTGTCAGAGGCAAGTGCATGTAACAACAGTAAATAACTGTATTATCTTTATATAAACTATATCAAAGAAAAGAAAATAGTATGATTACTATTACAGTGGTCCCTCGGTTAACGAACGCCTTGGTTAACGAATTACCTTCCATAAGAATCTTCAATTCGGTTAATGAACAAAAATTCGATTAACGAAATCCTTACGAAAATCACATTTTGTTTTGAACATCAGCTGATAAGCTGAAGAGGTACTTAGCCAATTCAGTGATCTCTTCTATGTTTACATTCAAACTAATCACTCTCTTATAAGAATTCCAGCATGCAAATTAAATTCACCCCAGTCACTTCTATTAAATTTTATAAGCAAAAAACAAAAACTCAATCTAAAAGAAAAAAAAATAAACTACAGTAACAATTAAATACTTCACACCACAGGCGCCAACTGTCAAACATGTCACCCCTCCCTCCCCACCCCCACCTCCCTGAGAAATGTTTGGGCAAAAAGACTAGGTTTACAGGTTTAAAAATAAATAATACCTCAGACTAAAGTTAGGATAATATAATTTGCATTGCTGAAATCCTTGCAAGACAGGGAATATGTTGAATATAAACTTCATATATTTTGCACAAAAGATAAAATTTTTGCTCTCCCTAATAAAATTCTTAAATTAGATCTAAAATTTGTATGTCTAATGCAAATTTTAGCATGTTTATATTCAAATTAATCACTATCTTATAAGAATTCCAGCAATGTAAATTATATTCTGGCTTTACTTTGTATATACTTTTCTGTGAGCTGGAACCAATTACCCAATATCCCACTGAAACAATGGTTTTGGTTAACGAACGACCTTCTGGAACGAATTGTGTTCGTTAACCGAGGGACCACTGTACAGATAATAAATTTACCAGGTTTGTAGTCATCCTCTGATTCGCTGTCTGAGTGGAGGATGATCCGTCTGCGCTTCTTTATTGGCTCACCTCCCGTACTGTGCGTTTTGCGACTGTTTTTGTTTTTCTTCACATTCAGGTCAAGATTTTCCTTACTTTGGTCGCTGGCTGTTGAGATAGATTCATATTAAGTGATCCTACTTTATCCATTTTTTTATCCAACAAACTTTGTTCAGATTCTATATACATATTGAGAACATATAAAGGAACAATATAACCAGAGTTGTAAAATAACCAAATAATTTACTTGAGTACTGTACTGTACTGTACTCAAATAAAATTTTTGGGTATCTACTTTTTAAGGTACAGCATCTCACCCTCCTCATCAGTGTCCATTGCTTCATCTTCATCTGAAGGAAGCATTTCCACGAGTAACATTTCTCTATCATCTTTGGACAGCTGCTGTGCTTCATTGGCTTCTTTTACAGCATGTATCCATGATGGGTCCTTATATGTTGGGATGCCATTTTCTCCCGCTGGACAGTAAGGCTTCACAAACCTGGGAAGAAATAATCATCATAGACTTCACAATACAACAGTAAAGTATCCACTCCAGTACATTACTCATCATCTGCCACTGGTACTGTACTGTGTGAAATATGAGATTGTAAGCCTTTCTTTAACCATTGTTGAGAAGTATTTCCTGCTTTCTACATGATTGTAGGTTTAATTCAGATTCCTGCATTATACAAAGAAGGGGTTTTAAAGTGATAGAAAATATTACTTATATAAGATTTCTAAGTAATTTTAAGATGATCTTAAATATACTCACACTTCCTTGACCCATCCTCGTGTAGGAGGGTTGTCAAAGAACTGGACATGTATCAGACCGTCACGATTAAAAACTTTATCACCTGGACTCTCACAGACTAGTGCAGGCCACCAGGGATACCCTTCCAATTTAGCCCAAACCATTTGCAGGGACTTAACATCTGAAATATATAATCTATATTAAGTTTAATAAGAGAAAAATAACACCCAATACACCTGCCTGTTTACAATAAGAGATTTAAATTTTTTAGAAAATCAGTCAAAATAAAACACAGATAATCTCTTTTATCAATGGGAGATGTACTGTAGTACAATAGAGGCAGACACAACTACCCCTGGGGCATCAGTAACACTACTGTACTGTGCATACTCTACCTCAGTACAACTTCTCTTGCATCTCACTGGCCTGAAGTAAAAAAAACACACTGTACAGTAGTTGATGTCAGCAGAGTTAATATTCCCCATACTTTATTGTACAGAGATCTTTGAAGCTTGTTGTGCCTTTGTGTGTGTGTGTGTGGGAGAGGGGGGGGGATGTGAGGAAAGAATGAGATATGAATAACATGTTTTTACTCTTAGTTTTAATGCTGTTACTGGCTGGGAATATGTTCAATGTCTTTGCAGATAGTATGGCTTCTGGAAAAAAAAAATACCTTAATGCTGTTGTTTGGGGCAAGTAAGTGTTCTAAATATAACAGGAAAATCACTATCATAAAAAATGGGGGGGAGAGAACCCTCGATAAAAAAGTATGAAAACATTTCTCTGCCTCTTGTAGCTACACACTATAATAAACAGTAGCACGATGGGGACAAGTTTTCAAGGTAAAACTCTTAATAACTATGGGTCCTATACAGTACTATATAATTTTACTTAAAATTTACCCACATAGGTAAAACAAAAACGTTGTTAGCTGTGCTGCCCTTTACTTCACTGGCTCCTGAATATATCGGAACCTGCTCCAGTGTTGGTCAAGTCTGGCCTCGAATGAGCTCATACTTGGTGCCGTCATAACGCTCTCTGGCAGATTGTTCCAAGAGTTGACAACTTTCACTCTAAAAAAGTTTGTCCTGACAATTCTCTGAACTTGTCGCTTCTTCAACCTTAAGTTGTGACCTCTAATGGGGCGGGTGTCTGCCAGCTCCAGGTATGGAAACTCGACGAAGTACAATACAGTAATGCAGGGTTGTTATGATTTAAATCACATGATTTAAATCAGAGTAAAAAAATCATGATTTAAATCAAAATGATTTTTTTTACTAATAACTGTTTTCTCTTTTTATTCTACACGATTGAAAAGTATATGCAATGCAGCAGGCTAATAACATCAAGATGATTAAAATGCTAAGACCAGGATATGCTCCACCTGATAGACATCAAATTGGAGGGTCTCTCGTGGATCAAGCTTACAATTCAGTGATTAAGAATTATTCAGAAGAACTTAGTGGGAAAACAGTTTGCATGGCCATGATGGATGGATGGAGTAATGTCCATAATGAGCCTATAGTATGTATAACTTTAACAGCGGACAACCGTATTTATCTTGTTGACTCTATAGACACAAAATCAAGACACACAGCTGAATATCTGTTGAAATTAGCTGAATGTGCTACAAAAAAGTGTGAAGACAAATTTGGATACACAGTAAGCTGTGTAACAGATAATGCTGCTAATATGGCAAAAATGAGAAGTGAATTCGGACAAGATAAATCCATTATAACATATGGTTGCTCTGCACACCTGTTAAATTTGCTTTCACAAGAACTGCAAATCAAGAACATTAAGGAGCACATTACAGAAATCATTAAGTACTTCAGAAATCGTCACATCCTAGGATCTTTGTATAGAAGAGCAGGAGGAACAATGCTAGTAATGCCATCAGACACACGATGGAACACAGTGACAGATTCTATTGAATCTTATTTAAAGAACTGGGAGACCCTTGTCAAAGTGTGCAAAGAAAATAGTGAAGACATTGATAAGAAAATTGAAAGGAAAGTTAATGATAAGGCATTAAAAAGAACTGCTGAAGACTATTTAGAGAGACTTAAGCCTACTGCTGTGGCATTGGACTGTGTCCAGAGAGAACATACCCTATTAAGTGATGCTGTAGAAATCTGGGTAAAACTGAAAACTGATATTAAGGAGCATTTAACAGATAAGAAGGATATGGATAATTTTGAAAAAAGAATCAAAGTAGCATTGACACCTGCCCATTTTCTAGCTAATGTGATAGATCCAAGGTATCAGGGCAGACATCTGACTCCTGAGCAGCGAGACATTGCAGAACAGTATGTGTGCGAGTCTCTTCCACATTTCCCTTCAACATTAATGTCCTTCCATGGAAGAAGTGCACCATTTAAAGAGGTCTATTTTGGTAAAGATGTTGTAAAATCTCTCTCACCCCTTGCTTGGTGGCAGTATTTTGCCAATGATATGACAGAAAATGTAATGGATGTTCCTAGACAATTATTTACAGCTGTTGCATCATCAGCAGGGGTTGAGAGAATTTTTTCCACACAAGGACTTGTATACTCAAAGGTAAGAAATCACCTAGGACAGGAAAAGGCATCTAAGCTTGTCACAGTACATAAGCATTTCAATGTTCAACTAAGCTAATTAAAATGTTTTGAACTATTTTTGTTATTTACAGAATGAGAATATTGTGTTGACTTGAAGTTATTACCAGTAATTCTTAATACACTTTAGTCCTACAAATGTAAGAAAATAAACTTGTTACCAGTATTATTTTTTTACAAAATGAGAATATTATTCTGTTGAATTGAAATTAAGTTATTCATTTTTGAAACATGTAATCCTATAAGAGCATTTATGTTAATTTCATTATTATGTTTGGATTTGTGCACTCAAATGTAAGGTATGTTACCAGTTTTCTTTTATTTTACAAAAGAATATTATTTTGTTAAATTCCATTGGTACTATAACCCAATACGTAACT